TATAATATTTAACAAAAACGTTTTCATTAGAAATATGGCAGCAATATTATTTTATATTTATAAATATAGAAAAGTCCATGCAAACTGCAAAACAACAAAATAAAAATAGCAAACTCAAAAGAGAACTAACAGAAAGATATATATTAAGATATAGAAATAGTGAAAGCAATTCTTAGAAAGTAGCGCCTTTCTATTTACATTCTAAATGATATCAACATAGTGCAATTGATTCGATTCGACTACAGAATGTTAAATTGGACTAATAGTTCGTGCTAAGTATAAATTGACATTAGCGTACTTCTTGCTGTTGTTGTTGAAGTTTATGTCGCTCGTTTGCTGCAGGCATTATTAACTGGGACTGTGTTCTGTGGCAGTTTGGCATGTACAATTCATTAGCATAATATGTTGATAATATTTATTTCAGTTAACTGGTTAACATAATATTTTACTTGAATGTTGTTTAGTGTTGCGTTCGTTAGRCATATATATATATTTATATATATAATTAATTAACTAATTTCATCTATATATTTAATGTATATTAAGCTAGGACGACGTTGTTCAGGCTGCTTACGAGAAATTGATTTTTGTAACAAGTAACCAGAGAGTATGCATTTATATAGAGAAGCCACATTGGATGCCAATATGGATCCATTAGGATGCTTATTGTGTTTTCCATTTGATGCGAGTATTAATATTAAATAAATGATGACTATGCGTAAAACTAAATTAACAATAAGAGTGCTTAGCTTACGGCAATAAATATATAAATTAATTATGATTGTTAATTGAAATACAATAAAATAAATATTATTTAAAATGGAATGAAATTCTGAGCACACAAAAGGCTTTAGCCGAATACACATGATGTTTAGATTTCACAGTAACCTTTACAAAGTTTACGTTAATATATAAATTACAATGGAAATAATTATAATGAACAATTCTGGTATTTTTTTGTTTCTACTTTAATAAAAATAAATCAAAAATACTTGTTCATCTCAATTAACATTTTAACATTTACATTCGTTCACTTTATTTATGTGCAAGCGCAACGCATATCAAATGAATGCTCTCTGAGTTTTATATATTGCTCTACGATTCTTGACATTATTTTTCTTATGTTGCAGGTAATTTGTTCTATAGCCGTGTGGAAGCTGTTTAGCGTGTTTTTTGTTATCAATATGAGCTTTCATTAAAAATAAATTGTACATGTTGTAGTATAACATATATTTTATATATTTGCATATTTAACTGTATGTATTTGTTCAAAAAACGCCACAGGACATTTAAAACTGGTGAAATGCGACTACATGCACAGGACGAACAATGGCCAAGAAAAATAGAGAAAATGCATTTGCGCAACAATTTATCAACATTTTATTATTTTTTTGTTTTGTTTGCTTAATTTTTTGTTTTTGTTTTTGTCTTAGTTTTTGTTTTTGTCAGTAACAACAATTACGAAAAGTTTCTTTCATTTTCAATTGGTGGGGTGTTTTTGTAATTCTGTATTCAATATTGTGAGACTACAATATGATCTATGCGCGGCACAATGCTGTAATCAGTTTTACATATACACATATATTCATATGCYTATATACATATATGTATATATATATATATTCTTTTAATTGGAACGAACACTAAAACTATGCGTCGTAAAATATTTGTTACTTATTATTTCATTATGATATTTCCTTGTCTAACTGTCTGATGTGTATCGGGCGTATGTGTGTGTGTGTGTTTGTAATTGGTTTGCTTTATGCTTCAACGTTCAATTTATTTTTGGCAGTTTATGCATTGGTTAGCGCATTTATGTTGGACGCCAAACATCGGGATCTTCCATGAGTGTGATATGCTGATCGCCGCCCATTTGCATTTGGCCGCCCGTCTGGCTGCCGGACATTTGTGTGGGCGATGTGGCCGCAGCGGCCATGTCCTCGCGCGAAGCTCTTTTGTTAATTATTCATTATTGCATTAGGCAACAGATGTTGTTTATTTATTTTGATGTTAGATAACATTAGTTGTAAGTGTAAGCGTAATCACAGCGCAAGCAGTTCAAGGAATAGAGAGAACATTATTTGGATTAGCATTTTGTGCCTTCAGTATTTTAGTTCTCCGCTCCATTTCACACTAACAATTGCTAACTAGCCAACTAACTGGATGGATGTACGGGCCACATACATATGCATACATGCATATATATCTGCCCAAGACTTCCAAGCAATACTCACTTCTTGCCTAACGCCATCATGCCGTAAACTGCGCCGGTGGCAAAGATCAGACCGCTGCCAAAGAGACTCGCCAGTCCAAAGCACATGAAAATCGGCGGCACTGCCATGCTGCAGGAATATATACATATACATAATATTAATTAGAACAGTTTGGAATAGATTGATATAGCATTTGGTACTCACGCGCAGTATAGGCCCGCCCGAAAGAACATGGGCTTGGCATCCACCATTTTCGATACATCATTGACCTTCTCGATGCAGACAAAGCAGAACGGCGCCTCCAGCGCCATCACCACAAAGCCTGCTAGCATTTGTATAATGCCCGCGACGAGGCATGAAACGCTGAGTCCAATGATTGACAGAACGTTCCATAGGCCAAAGAGTATGGCAACTGAAATGAAAGAGAGGAAGAACATATATAATATATTTAAATAGAGATTCGATGTGACCTAGAAAACAAAAGATAAGCAATTTGCAATAAACTACTGCACATAAAACCTGCTATGTTAATCAGCATGTTTATATTATCCATTAATAACAAGTTAAGTTTTAGGGATTATAGGAAATAATAATAAATATTATAATATTCCCTGCGACGTACTCTTATCTATCTCCATGTAAACTGTCTGCTAGTTAGTTTTTAACATGCATGCTATCTATTTAAATGGGATTCATGCCACATTTCCTGCCCGATAGTTTATCATAAGCTCTTGTACACACTAGATACATTAGTTAGCAAAGTCATTTAATAGATAGCTTAAATAGAAAGGGCGTTTCGAGCCACGCAAGCTAAAAATGGAATCAACGAAGACATTAAAAGAGAATTATCTAGCTCTCATGTTGTTATTTAAATCGGATCTGTCCAAAAATTCAGCAACGCCTCCAACATTTGGCCTCATTATCTCTACGCCCAGAGTTTCTGGTGAAAATAATAGAATAAATACGTATATAGTATAACTATTCGAGTGTAATCTAATCAACGGAGCTGACTCATACAACAACTAAACTTTTATTTCTATAAAATTACTATACAAAAAAAAAAAAAAAAAAAAGTAAGAAAGCTCCAGTCGAGACTGCTCGACTAGGAGATACCCTGAACCCTCCAAGCTAATCTAATCATTCTGCACTTCTTTTATGCACACATACATACACATGCTTCCACACGCACGCATAAGCCTGCGCTCTGCTAACTGCGCAGTAAGCAGCGACTGCGCTTGGGCTGCGTTGCAATGTGGGCAATATTATGAGAATTTATTTGTTGAATAACTTCTTTTGTAGACATACGATCTTAATGAAACTTTTAGGGCGTAATCATATGGTGAATATGTGTGTACATTCCANCACGAGTATGCATGCCAAATTTCAGCTCTCTAGCTCTTATAACTTCTGAGATCGACGCACTCATACGGACGGACGGACGGACGGACGGACGGACGGACAGACGGACAGGGCTATATCGACTCAGCTCGTCGCGCTGATCAAGAATATATATACTTTGTGGGGTCTGCCACGCCTCCTTCTGCCCGTTACATACTTTTTCACAAAACCATTATACCCTGATTTCCCATTTTCAATGGGTTCAGGGTATAAAAAGTGAGAATAAAAAGAAAATTCAATGCTCTGAAGCTCAGAGAGCGTGACAAACTAAACAAGCAGAAACACTTGTTCAAATTGGAGCATTTGTCGGCTCAGCATCTGCTGAATGAATAGATAATAAACAGATGTCTAACATTGTTAGTTGTCTGATGAACTATATGGAGTATTTAAATATGAAATATTTTAGCCTAGTATTCAATTAAGTTGTAACTAAATGTATATGCATACTAAATACATCTCTTTATAGCATTTTATCAGCTGTTTACCAAGCAAAAAAAAAATAATAATCTTGGACGATAACACAGTTTGGGGACTAGGTAAACAAAAATATCTAAATGTGTTAATTGAGCAAAGTTTTCATTAAGTATGCAAAGATAAGAATTAAGGCGATTTAAGAGTATTTGATAGTCTACTGTCCGCACAGAGTAGAAAAACTGTAACTGAACCAGTTTCGTTTGAAAGCTAATCTGAATTTTGAGGTTGTTGCGGTACGCGGGTTTGCTAAACTCCTCCAAGTACTTGGACGCTGTGCTCTGTGAAGCGGCATTTAATTATAGTTTTATATGTATTAATTATGAAAAGCACAGTTTTTGCTTGTTGTTACTTATGAAAAAGAACCGGTTGTGGGAAGCCGCACAAATGAATTCTCTTCAAATTAGCTGACTTGAGACAAACTCGATGTTTTCCTTTGCATTTCTATTAAATACACATTTTATTTAAACCATATACTTAATACCAATCGGATTCCATTTTGATTCTGTTTATTCGTTTTATTAGTTTACTATTGATTGTTTATATAGATTTGCTGATTACGAAACATTTGGCACGTGATTCAGCAACCAGCTGACGTTGAAATAGTAATAAAAAATAAAATAAAAAAACAGCTCTATTCGGAGCTAACAAATTGTTTTCATAGGTAGCGTGTCATTGAACTTTACGCGTTTTCCTTTGAATGAGTGCGAAATGAAAATGTTTGCATTTGGCTTGCTGAAAATCGCGTTAAGTTGCGAGGGAAAAGCCAGCACACAGTCCGGGTTCAATGTCATAGCGACTGCGGAAACGTAGAACAATGGATATATGTACATATATACATTTATAAATTTATATATATACATTATGCAAAACAACAGAAAGCAAAGAGAGATGCAAAAATAAAGGGAGAAAGAGAAAGAGAGAGAACTAACATAAAGAGAGCGGCAATTCGATTACTGATAAAATAAAAATAAATCAAATTAACCATGTTAAATTGATGTAATTTAATGACTAAATCGAAATGCATCAAGGAAAATGGAAAATACAAACTTGACACATATATATTTACATATATAATATATATATATATGTGCACAAGGCTGTGCCAGACGTGGGCAGCATACACACCCAAACACAGGCAAACATTTCTGTATCCTTTGTAGCAGTTTCATCTTGTTGTTGTTCTCGTTCTTTTTGCTTTTATCAATGTCAGGTCGAAGAGCGAGCGAGCGAGCAAGAGAGTATGCGTGCCGTGAGTATTGTGGGTGGATTACACAAATACACACGCACGCACACACACACCTATATATATATAGCCACGCATGGTACACAAATAGATAAGCTGTGTTACAACAAAATGTGTAACATGCAAAACATAAAAATCGATGCTAATAGCCACATAAACTGTAATTGTTGTTGCTGTTGGTGCTATTGACAGTTACTTACAGAATGCAGCAACAATGCCCAGCACCCGTGAGCCATATTTGAGATACCAAGGTGCTTCCGGACCGCCAGCTGGATCTTGATTTGGCCGCGCTAGCAGTTCTGCTAATTTTCCCGTAAACGACTGCACAGAAAGAAAACAATTGCAATAAAGAAAAGTATTACTTTATATTTGAAAAATCGAAGCACAACCGAAGCACAATATATATATTTCTTTTTAACAATGCAATTTGTGACGCGGCCGCTTTTGATTATACACACACGCACACACACATGATTGACATGCACAATTCACGTCACCAAAAAACTTTGTGCCGCGTTCTAATAGAAACAGTTAGTTTGTGTTTTGAGTATTTGAGCGTTCAGCGCGTGTTGAAGTACGTACCATTTTGCTAGGCAACTATTTAAACTTAAACTAGTTATAGCACAAATGAAACAACTTTATGCACTTTACACTGACGAAAAACGCAGAATAGAAAAGATATGCAGAATAATAACGATAACAGAGGGAGCTATCGAATTGGCGTTGCCACAGCATTCGATATATTCAGAACATAAGCTCTGCTAACAGAAGCACTCCTCAATTTTACAGTAATGCTCCGCATGATGATAGCTTGTGTTTACAAATTCATTTATCTGAAATGCTTCTTCAGGCTCTCGTTGCTAAAATGGAAAATGAGTTTTTTTTTTTTTTTTAATAAAACACAATTTTCTTTCGGTTTGTCGGAAGTACAAAATAAAAATGTAATACAGATTTTATTGCCTGAATTTAGATATATTGCCATTGTTGTTTGCACACAAAAAAAATATAGGGTATTATGGTCTATTTTATACGAGTAATTTGTTGATTCTTAATCGAATGAAATGGGCGTTAAGTTTTCTTTGTTTGGTTCGGTTCAAGATCAATAATAGTCGGCAAATTGCCATTTTTGATATTTACGCTTTGTTGTTTTTGTTGGACGTTTTACAGTTGAAACTGCTCAAATGCATAGCAAAGGTTACTTATTTACCGTTCTTCGTTGAATACTTGGGCGGTAACATTTAAAATTGATTTTAGTCTACGGCAAGTTGTGTAGTTTTCTTGTTGTTGTAGAAAATGGCAATTACAATATGATTTTAAGTATTTTGATAGACATTGACTTCATACTACGAGTATTTGTCCACACGAAAATCCTTCGCCCAAGTATTTTAGGATTGTATTGCTTAAAAATTAACTTAAATGTTTTTTCGATTCATGTTCTTTAGGGATTTGTCTGTTCGTCCAGCAGCCCGTGCACTAAAGTTAACTATGTGCTATTTCTATTGATTTGTGAAACATAAACTAGTATAGGTAAATGTAGTTGATATACTCGTAGCATTCTTTAAGCATTTGATTTTTCATGTTGCACATTATGGAAAATAATTAAGTATGTTTTTCAGCTTCAATTGAATTTCTTGTTACAATTTTGAATTTGAATTTAATTTAATGTCTTTTGTTTTGGTTTTGTTTGGCTTTTTTAAATTAAATCTCAATTATTACTATTTCACACTGAAAGAAATTTGAATTTAAACATGGTTATTGTTGCTATTGTTTGATATTTGATATTCATTGCAATTTGTTGTTGTTGTTGTTTATTGATTTTCATTTTCTTTTTTGTTTTGTTTGGTTTTTTGTTGTTTGCGCAAAACAAATGCACAGTGAAATTGTTACAAATATTGAAGAAAACGAAAATTGAAAAATGATTTAGTTAATGACAATTTCGATTGAACATTTGTTAAGCGCCTCGAACAGTTTCGGTTTTTCTTACTGTTCGAATAAAAGAAAAAATTAGAAAGAAAATTGGAAGAAAATTAAAAGAAATTAAAATTTTGTTATACAATATACAAATTAATATGGCTTTTCAAAAAGCTTTAAAAGTCAATTGTAAAAAGTTAAAGCGAAATCGTTGAAAGGACAGTTTTCAAGGCCAGTTTGTGGGCAGCATTGCGTAAAACAAGTTTAAAGATAATGTTTCAGCTTCAAATGTTTTAAACTAATTTGTTAAATTCGTTAAATTTATCAAGAGTTGTCACAAGGTTTTCAAAATTTGTGTCTTATACAATGTTTTTATTTTTTATTTATGCTTAATTTTTTGTTTTTTGTTGGATATGCCTACCTGATATTGCCCCCAAATCAGTTTTGGGATTTCTATCCCCTTTCTCTCTCTCTCTCTTTGACTCTGGCTAACTCTTTAATATTAGTTTTAGGTGTATATATTCATATTTATATGTGTATGTGTGTGTGTGTAGGGYTGTGTATCTGTGTCTGTCCGTGTGTTTGTGTTGGGGCAATGGACAAGGTTTTTTTTTCATCGATTGAAGCATTATTTCGAATATTAAAATTGTTTGCTTATAAAACACTTGTTCGGTTCGTCGTTCTCGTATGTATTTTATGCGTATGTACTTGTATGTTATGTAATCGTAGTTGTTGTTGTTGTTGTAGTAGTAGTCGTAGTAGCTAGCCGTTTTGTTAAGATCACAATTGTGCTAAGAAATACTATATCACAATTAAATATTTACACTCAWTATTATTATTATATGTACTTATGCTCATGGCATTACATCTTAGGTGGTGGTAATTGGGGCGGGGCAGTAAAAACGACCCAGAAAGTCATGCAAAATGCTTGCATATTAGTTGTTTGCCTCTTTGCCACATAACTTGATGTTGTTCTTGTTCTTAATGTTGATGTTGWTGTTGTTGTTAATGTTGTTTTATAAAAGGTTCATTGCACTTGGGTGCAAGGAACGAATTGTACTTAATAAAAGTATAGAAAACAAATAACTTATATAGCAGAACGTTAGGCATTTAAAGCTATGCTTTCATTTCTTTGTTTTCTTTACTTTTTCTCTCTATCCGGCTCTATCGCCGTCTCTCCTCCTTTACTTAACTCGTTTTTCACTTTACTCTTAAAAAAATAGACGCAAACGGCTTAGGCTGGAACTCTAATTAGAAGAATGTTTGCTTTACTTTGTTTGCTCACTTTATAGCTTACAGGAAATTAAAACCAATCTAATAAAACATAATTACTTGTCGTATAATATCGTGTTATACCTAAAAAGTGTTTACTGCGTTCGAATTGCACAACTCTTCATTGCTATGCATTGCTTTTATATAATAATTATATAAAAATTTTGCCTGACAATTTTTACAAAATGACGTGTGCTGGAGCGGAAGACTCACGTTTTACATTTCTCTTTGTTTTTCCTTCACTTTTTTTTTGGTATGAAAATGTGTTTACGTTAATACAAAACATTTTACATTCCTTGCTTGCTCGCTATATACAAATGAATGTCGAAAAGATTGTTGTTCTTTATGTTTGTTGTTGTTGAAAAATGCATCTATCGAAAAGTCCATAAGACTTTTAATGAGAGATCCATGGGAAACACCTAAAACTTAATATGTGTAACGATTATTGTTTCTTGTGTGTGTGTGTGTGTGTGTGTGTGTTAATGCTGCCTACAAACTGACCTTGTGACTTAGAAATGCAAGAAGTATGAGAATTTAGAAGGAAAGAATTCATTCAAATTGAATTAGCAAAATACATTTGCTATGAAATTTTTGGTGAATGAGAAATTCGTCCACGAATTGAAATTGGGCGTAAAATTCAAAGGCCCTGGTTGTTGTTGTTGTTGCTGCTGCTGTTGTTGTTGCTGCGGCTGCTGCTGCTGCGCCTGCTGCGATTGCGGACGCTGCAAAATTCGCAAATTGGTGCCAGATGCCATGCGCTGCAGCTTGTGCAATGTCTGTGCATCCGGAGTTGTGCTGCTGTTGTTGCCAGTTGCTCCAGCAACTGTTGTTATTGGCGAATTCAATGAAACCGAAGCGGGACGTGGACGTAGCAGCGGCTGTTGTTGTTGTTGTTGTTGCTGCTGCTGTTGCTCCGGTTTGGCTGTCTTTTGTGCTGCAGCTGCTGCTGTTAGCATGGCAATTAAATCCATGCCAGTTGTGGGTGTTGATTGTTGTTGTTGCTGCTGCTGCTGTTGCTGCTGTTGTTGTTGTTGTTGTGGCTGCTGCTGTTGTTGTTGATTGTTGTTTCTGGTCAAAATGCTTTTGACAACAAACTGCTGCTGCTGCTGCTGCTGATTGTTTTGTTTATCACTTTGCGATTTGGTGCGCGAACGTTGCTGCTGCTGCTGCTGCTGCTTTTGTGCCTTGGCCGCTTTCTGCTGTTGCTGCTTTTCCTTGCGTATCAAATCAAAGGAGCTGACAATCTGCAATTGCTTCTGTTTAGCCTTGAGTGCACCATCTGCAATCTCAGCATTGCTTACCTTCTCATTGCTTGCCGGCTGTTGGGCATCATTCTGGCTTTGGCTATGGAACAGTTGCCGTTTGCTGGTTGCTGTTGCAGCTGTAGCTGTTGTTGGTGTTGTCGCTGCTACTGCAGCAGTTGGTGTTGCTCCAGCATTTGCTGTCACTGGCGTTGTTGTTGCTGTTGTTGGTGTATTGCTGCCTGCAGCCACATTCAGTTGTTTGTTATTATTATTATTCATGTTGATATTGTTATTGTTGTTGTTGTTGATGTTAATGTTGTTGTTATTGATGTTGTTGATGTTGCTGTTGCCGTTAACATTACAATTGCTATTGCGCTTGATATTACTATGGTAAATGTTACTGTTGGCAGTGAGACCGACACTTCCAGCTCCTCCTGCGCCCGCCTTGCCATTGAGATTATTTAGCTTAACTCCATCCAAGTCGCCCATCGATTTGTGCCGTTGACGTTTCGACGAACTGCGCTGCTGCTGATCCTTTTTATCATTGTTGCCATTCGCAAGCATTGTGGGCGACGTGGATGTGCCACCGTTACCGTTTAGGATGGCCTTGGGACTCTGCTGTCCCGAGCATTTGCGACGACGAGTTGATGGCTCAATGCCGGCGCGACGTTCGTTCACCCACTTCTTCAATCGCTTCACAAACGGCATGATCATAAAGAAGGAATTGGAGTTCTTACCCAGTTTGGCTTTCGATATGGCATCGTTCTTATTGACCGGCAATGCATCAATGCGAAACCAATCACAACACTTAATCTCATTACGCGTGCGCGGCGCAAATTTCGTATCTAACGGTATATTGCGCACTATATACAATCGTGTAAATTGATAGTTAATAAAAGCCTCAATATAATCATCAGCATCTATGATGTTCGTTATGTCAAAGCCCGTCTCCTCATATACCTAGGGTAACACAAAGGAAAATGTTATTTTTAAATGATCATAT